GCTGAAGCTGTGCACTTGACTGAGCCTGCAAGGCAGCTGTTCTGAACTCTGAAACTCAATTGCTGTACAGCGAGGAGAAGATCCCTGAGCAGCTTTCCAACAACGGAATCCAGAAACGTTTTTCTGAAGAATGTTTCTGCATGTCTCTCACGCCATTATCTCAGTCTCTTTCTTATATCCACATGAACAAAAAAACACATGTGTTTGTCTGCCTTTCTGTAGAGAGACATACACATGGAGCTGGAAACATTGCCTGTCTTCACAGAGATCCTTACAACAAAAAAACTGTGTTAACGGTTCAGGCCAGAGGAAGTAAGCAGGCACGCTGTCACTACTGTCACGTCACAGGGGTGATGTCCCAGATGGGTATGGTGACAGACTCTGACTTGAATAAAACATGTTTTAAGCGTATGAATCAGCAAGTGCATAACGTGCAATGCAAAACAAGATGACTTTGAATTCTTAGTCTGTAGCACCACAAAATGGGGTGGACAGGGGTTGCGATAATATTAGTTGATAGCGTTTTCCAAACTCTTGTAAGTTAAATTCCCTTTGAAGAAAAATGAAACAAAAACACAGTTTACTGCACAGCAAGCAGCTTTTCATAGTAGGTTGCCTAAATCTCCATTGCCTGGCACTCTTACACCCTGGTAAGTTAGTGTACTTGAAATGTCACCACTACACTACGTGCATCTGAGTTAGCGGCCACTGAAATGAAAGGGGGGAGTCAGAATTCAAATCTGATTTCAGGCTTTACAGAAGCTCAAGCAAATACAGCTACATCACTTATATTTGAGTCACAATTGCAAAATTGTATTGGCAACCATAGATTTAGAGATTTAAGGCATATCTGCCCAGGGAAATCAGTGCTTAGAAGGAAGGGTGTGGACTTTTAATGTGATCATTTTTGTGTGCTAACTCCCATCGAGATATTTTTAGCACATGCTAAAACTGTTACAGTATAAAATAATGTAACTTTGCTCTGTAAGTGGAACATGTTACTTCATTTCTAGAGCACACAAAATAGGAGGGAGTTAGATGGGGTAATGTGCTAGAAGCTCACGTTACTGCACATTCACAGTTACTGCACACTAACGTCTTTATGTAACGAACTGTTAGACCTTTCAATTTTAATCTAAGTTTAGACTCAAAACCAGCCAGAAGACATATCTGTGCATCTGCTGTTAGTCTGGTACGTTCCACATCTCGAGAAGTACCATCTAACCAGCTGACATCATTAGCATATGTATGCTGCCTTCTTTCCCCATCCCAAATGTGCAGTCCTGTAAATCATAGCAAGCTGAAATTCTGATCTCTTTAGTGCTATTTGAAATCACTAAGTCACTGACTCCCTTCTTTGTGTCCACGCAAACATTAGGTAACGACACCAAAGTTCAGAAGTATGTTTAGTAGCTTGATCCGTTTCCCAGGCTACAGTCTGTGCTTGGAGGGCAAAGATCCAGTGCCTCCATTTATTGACCGAAGATGGAGAGGGAGGGTTCAGCAGCGCCTGGAGGCTCTTCAGCAGCTTGCTGTGTAAGTGTTCTCTGGTTGGATAATTTCAAACAAAGGTACGAACAAAACCAACAAAAACCCATGCACACTGAAGTGGAGATGCCTGCAATTTGCTCCTACTTATATCTCCCTTGAAATTAAGAGACTGCAGCTGTTGTGGAGTATGGTTGCCCATCTGTTTCTTACAGGGTGGATGTTGCACATTCCTTCATCCCTGTGCTATATCTGCTTTGCAGCGGTTGCCGGGAAAGAGAATTATTTCAGTCTCTCACACATCAGAGAAGTTTTGACGACTTCAGTGACTCATGCGTGTTACTTCAGTGGGAGCTGTTTCCTTTTAGTCCCATGCAGTTGCAGCTGGTTAAATTACCTCTCCTGCTCATTTGAGGGTGTGTGGGGCCTGAACCTGGGCACCACATTTTTAGTGCAGGGGTTTCTTAGTTGAACTTTCTTCTGGCATCACAGTTTGTGCTTCTGATTCAGCAAATATTTTTTAAAAAGTTTGTTCTGCCACATCATGCGTTTTTTGGAGTCCTCTTGTAGCTATGTTCAAGACTGCAGGCATCAGCCCAGGTAGTTGTTTTCCAAGGCTTTTGCTGCATTAATGAGCTAACTTTAGACCAGGGACTTTTCATACAACACATGCTCTGGGGTTGCTGGTAACTGAGTTCTACCACATGCCAGACAGTAATCAAAGATGTTTAAGAGTGATACAGTGGATTTCACACCTGGTTTTGTTCACTTTCAAAAGCATATTCTTCTCATTTCTACAATAAAACAAGAATTTTGGAGCCTTATTTTTTTCTTCTTATTTTCAGCAGTTCAAACTGTCCTCAGCACATGAAAACGTCAGTGGCTTTTTATATTTTGCCTGATATTCTATAACAAGAACCTATTTGACACCTGCACTGCTTTGAAATTGATTTACATTTCAACAACATCTATTTGCAAAGAGTCTTGCAATTAACAAAAAATGAGAAATACTTCCCCTCTGTTTCAACCTGCACTGATTGACAGTGTTGCTGATACAGAAGACAGAATATTTCCCAGCTGTCTTTTCAGTAGTTGCATTGCCTCTGCAAGGTTACCAGGAATAAATGCTCATTTATTTCAGCAAAGTCAGCAAATAAAAGTCAAGGACGTGCAAGAGGCAGGATCTGTGGAATAAAAGGGGCTGTTTCACTGGGTTCCCATTGTGCCTATAACTGTACCATAATAGGATGAACAGCTTATGCTAATAAAGTTAGATCATAAGAATAAGTGCCCACCTGTGCTGAATGAAACATAAATCCATCTGGATGGAGCAACAGCCTGATATGTAAAGAGTCAGCTAGTGGAACTAGCCATCAGCTCAATTAACTCATTTGAATTACAAACACAACTTCACAATAATACCTTGATTAGTGCTGAGCAAGTATCTCAGGTTACAGCACTGCATCTCGAAACCTTCCCCTCTTTTGTTATGTGATATGACTGAAAGCACTAGGAAGAGATGACTTTAAACTTACCTTTGCAGTAAATTGTGTGTCACAGGAGGTTAATGAAGCATCTCTCTCTATAGGCTTTGCTGAAGTAAGTAGCCGTACTGTGGCTCCTCGAGTTCCACAGTGCAGCTCACAGGGCTTAGATGGGGTCTTTGAAGACAACTGATGTCAGCATGCAAGCCTTGATCCCAGCTATCAAACAGTGTTATGTATTCTTAACCACATCTCTGTAAATATGCCTCTGTATTTAAAATCAGGCAGCAAAAACCAACTCCAGCACCCACAATCCCCTATATCTGAGGTCAGGATTCTTACAAGTTGCCAAAGATGGTCTTATGAAGAATATGACCGTCAGGACTTGCCATATGTATAGTCTAAAACTTACCTTAATGGCATGATATGGGCTGGGTTTTTTTGGTTTTTTTTTTTTGAAAGAACTGTTTCTTGTCTTGTCCAGAGTAAGGCTGGAGTATAAAGTGGTTGTGAAATCAAATAGCAATCCTGAATGCATAGCTTTCAAGGGACTCTGTCATACCCATTCTCTCACTGACTGCCTTAATGAGGTCTACCTCATGGTCTTCCAAAGCTTTAAAATAAAAGAAACCCTCGAAGATGTTATAGTGAAAAATTGAAACAGCCTGGCTACTTTAAATTTAAAATGGGGGAAAACATGAAGAAAGAATGTTCTTGTGAAAAATATTCTTGTTCCAGCACAGGATTTCAAACACTCACATGGTCAGCCTGATTTTTCTCCTCTATTGGAGAATTCAGATTGAAATTGCTGATTCTAAAATTTTCCACATTTGCTCAAAATCTCTTTAGCTATTTTTGAAAGGTAGAAAGTTGTAGTCTTCCCCTTTCTTCCTTATACTCCTTTACATATATTTCCTGTTATGGAAGGTTTTTCACTCTTCAGGAAATGAGCTTGCTCCTCGCACTCCCAATAAAAGTAGTTTACAAGGTCAAGCATTTACAAGTGGCCAGTTCTTTTCATGACAAACGCATAAGAAAGTTTTATAGAAGGCAGCAAATGACCATTTCTTGACCACACATAGTGGGAATGTACATAAAGTGTCAAACTCTCTTGCTATGTATATAATTGTTTGTATAAGTATGGGGATTTTGTGGACTTTGTAGTGTTTATATTTGATTGTGCAACCAGAGAAGTAGAGAGAGAGAAGGGGCAGGGGGGGAGGGGACGGAGAAAGAAGCATAAGAAAAAAAGATCAGAACTGCTCTGAATGTACTTAAATGATAGTAAGGAAACCTGTATTTTGCCTTTTAGAGCTCCACCTTCTCTTCAAATACCTCAAATTGTGTATGAAGATCCTGAAGTTACTGGAAGGAATCGCTACAAATATTTTGCACGGTGAGGAATGAAGTGATTTGAAACAGAGCTCATAAGCTTGTCTTTGTGCAGTTTGAAGAGCACCTAAATATATAGACTCATAGAATCAAAGAATGGTTTGGGTTGGAAGGGACCTTAAAGATCATCTAGTTCCAACCCTCCTGCCATGGGCTGGGACATCTTTCCACTAGATCAGGTTGCTCAAAGCCTCATCCAACCTGGACTTGAACGCTTCCAGGGATGGGGCAGCCACAACTTCTCTGGGCAACCTGTTCCCGTGTCTCACTACCCTCAGAGTGAAGAACTTCTTCCTTACATCCAATCTAAATCTGCCCTCTTTCAGTTTAAAGCCATTGCCCTTTGTCCTGTCACTACAGGCCCTTGTAAAAAGTCCCTCTCCAGCTTTCCCGTAGGCCCCCTTTATGTACTGGAAGGCTGCAATAAGATCACCCCGGAGCCTCAACTCTCTCAGCCTGTCTCCATAGCAGAGGTGCTCCAGCCCTCAGATCATCTTCATGGCCCTCCTCTGGACCTGTGCCAACTGGTCCACGTCCTCCTTCTGTTGGGGCACCAGAGCTGAATGCAGTATTCCAGGAGGGGTCTCACGAGAGTAGAGGGGCAGAATCCCCTCCCTTGACCTGCTGCCCACGCTGCTTTGGATGCAGCCCAGGACACGGTTGGCTTTCTGGGCTGCCAGCTTGCATTGCCGGCTCATATTGAGCTTCTCATCAACCAGCACTCCCAAGTCCTTCTCCTGAGGGCTGCTTTCAATCCATTCTCCACTCAGCCTATACTTGTGCTTGGGCTTGCCCTGACCCATGTGCAAGACCTTTCACTTGGCCTTGTTGATTTTCTTGAGCCCCTCTTCCCTCCAGGGCTTTATCCCATGGTACTCTGCACCAAGCAGATCCCTGAAGAGGCCAAAGTTTGCTCTCCTGAAATCCAGGGTAGTGAGTTTGCTGTGCTCCCTCCTCGCTGTCCTAAGGATCTTGAACTCCACCATTTCATGGTCACTACAGCCAATGCTGCCCTTGAGCTTCACATTCCCCACCAGCTCCTCCTCGGTGGTGGGAACAAGGTCCAGCACAGCACCTCTCCTTGTTGGTTCCTCTGTCACTTGGAGAAGGAAGTTATCATCAATGCATTCCTGGAACTTCCTGCATTTCTTATGCCCTGCTGTGTTGTCCCTCCAATAGGTGGTTGAAGTCTCCCATGAGCACCAGGACTTGTGAACATGAGGCTGCTCCTATCTGTCTATAGAGGGCCTCATCCGCTTGGTCTTCCTGGTCAGGTGGCCTGTAGCAGATGCCCGCTATAATGTCACCTGTCCCTGCCCTTCCTTTAATCCTGACCCCTAAGCTCTCCGCCAGCTCCTCATCCATCCCCAAGTGGAGCTCCATGCCAGAGCCTTATTTTTTTGTGTGTGTTCTCTGTTGGTTCTTTGATCATTGGTATAGAAAATCTAAGTAGTAACCGAATCTTGTATCACAGGGTCTTTCAAAATTCACACTATGCCAGAATTTTCAGGTAATGAGTTTCCATATAAGCAAATTTACTATGCATTCTGCACTTAATAATTATTTGTAGAAAGCTTTGGGCTGTAGATCCTCCTACAAAAAGGATCAAGATGCTTGCAAAGCCATTGTGGTTCTCCAGACTCCTGGAAATGTGCCTTCTTAAGGAGGAACCTTTTAACTCCCAGTTTCTGCCAAGAGCAGAAAGGGAGCAAAGAGAATCCTTGATTAACTTTTCATCAATGTCCTCTACTGCAGGACTACTCTGCTCCTTCCAGAATGACACTGCAGGTCAGCAATGGACTCAAGATCTGAACCAACAGATAGCATATAAACATTATCAAATTTGTCACATGTTCTTTGAATTACATTCACTATTATAGTCAGCAGCTATTGGCCAATATGTCCCCCAATAAATACAATATAATACTGAATATTTGAAAATCGCCACATTTAATAAATTGAAGTTCCTTATGGCTCCTTTAACAACAACAAAAGGACAATGATTATGGTGATCTGCAATTTGAAATTAAGATTTAAAGTCTCTCAAAGGCTAAGGGAAATTGGTAGTGAACTGCAATATGTAAGCTATAAGAATGCCTAAGAAGGAATTATTAATATGTTGTTGAGCCTATATCACTTTCAAGATATTTCAGAAAATACTGCAAAAAATGAAACCATCAAATCAGATTAAGTCCAACACAGCGTACCTTACGAACTGATTGTAGGGATTCATTTCAAGATTTCAAGTTATTAAAACAAACCCTCTCAAAATCTTCAAGTGGAAAAAGTAAACTAATTAGTGAAACATGCACAAAATGTGAGCGCACTCAAAACTAACTTCTTTTAATTATTGTCTTGTTTTGCAATTCCGCATTCTGCTTTGACAGAATAATAACACTCCTATTGGTGAAACTTTCGCTGTTGCTCCTCAGCTATGAAAGAATTATTTAATATTCAGGCACAATTCTTAAACATGCAGCTACAGAACCCGAGTTGTGGAAACTCCACTGAAATTAGTGGACTGCAGTTTTTCTAAACTGTAATTATCTTTTACGCTCACAGTTGTTGTCTTACATCTGCTTTTTCTCTTTTCAGGCCTCTCATCTCTTGTAATAAGCTGATTCCACTAACTGTTGCTTACACAATGGCAAAGTAAGTAGTGAGTTCTGGAACATTACTGCTGTAATGGGTCACATCTCACCAGAAGAAGACTGGGTAACTATTTAGCTGGTGACCAGTATTTTTCATAATGAACCAACAGGAAAAACTTGTTAAGAGGTAAGGGTTTGTTCACCACTGAGAATTCCTGAGGAAACAGGTGACTGACTGTTTCAGAATTTGCTTGCAGTATTTAAGTAGTGCTTTGTGGGTAAAGGACACGTGCCTCAAGTGTCTTATGATTATGAGGCCTGAAACAGAAAGCCAAGTGTCTTTCAATCCTAGAAGAGATACTGATGCAAAGAAGATTCTCCAATACAGCAATATTGTTGGAAAATCTGATATTTTATTACAGTCTCTGCAATAGTTGCTATACTGTTTAGTGGTGTAGAGCATCCATGAAGCAGTCTAGTGTGGTTTTCAGGAGGGATCAAATTTTGAGGAGACGTAAGAAGATTCAGTTCCTAGTACAGTCAATGGAAGTGGCACATGCTTACATCAGAATTTAATTTTTGTTCTGGAAATGCTGGAAAGACAAACATGTAAGCTAAATTGAAGCAGTCCTACTTCATTTTAATCTCAGCCATCAGATACTTTTTGTGCCCATTAAAAGCAATGCTTTAGAATGGACACATAGGGCAGATTTGCTTGTGAGAACTGAAACTAGAGGGTTTCTGGATTGCTTGCCTAAGGAGGGAGGTTTCAGGGGACTCAGTGTAACCTCAGTGTGCTTTTATTAAAGATAATGGAGTTAACATCAATGGGAACCATGTTAAGATAAAACACATTTGGATATCCTACCTTTGATTTAGTGTTGTTTTGGTTACTGTTTTGGGTTTTTTTTAATGAATGTGACAAATGTTCTTCCATCTTGCATCTCTTTTTAGGACAGAGCCCTATGTCCATTCAGCTTCAAGAGACAGCAAGGTCTTTGGTCCCAAATTACGAACTGTGGGCACACAGACCGACTACAGGGATGGTGAAGCCCAGACGGATCCCTATTCCCCTGAATATATAGTTCCCAGTGGCTCAGTCCCTGAACTTCTGACACTTGCTACACTCACTTGGGGTGAGCTGTGAAATCAAGATAAAGTATAATAAGCATGTCCCTCCTCTTTAGCAGGAGGTTTTTTTCTTCAATGTCAGGTTTCAAGTCTATTGCCAGCTTTGGCAGTCCTTTGTTGTCTTCCTTTGGGGCACATTATTTTATCTATTTCTAAAATCCTAAATGATATTTACCTACTTAATAGCGCTGTTCTGGGGCATTTCATAAAGAGTTTTGAGATAATTCAATATAAAAACTGAATTATATATTCATATTAAAAGGTCATATGTTTTACAAATGCAAACTAGTAGCAGTTTTACCATTTACCTACTGTTCTTCAGCTGTTTTGAGTTAGACATCAGTAAAGAAGCAGTAGGAATACTGCTGCCCCAGAATACACCTATAATCTTAATCTCCCAGTGACACACCTGCAATAGTGATGGGCACTGGACATGCCAAAGAAAGTCTGCCAAAGACATTCATCCTCAGAAAGTATCTTCTTGGAAAAGTTGTTCCTCCTTTGCAGCCTGCAGTAGAGCAATGGAGCGCTGGTGTTAATGTCAACTAAGCTATAGCAACTGTAGGTCCTGCCATTCCTCTTACTGTACCATTTTACTGTCCTTTACTGGCCAGTATTTACTTCTGACTATCGACAGTTTTGCCTGTGTTTTACACATGGGCTTGTGCCCATCCAGCCCTCTCATAATTTTTGGTGGTGGTTATTTGCTGGATTCACCATTCTCCTAAAGAGCTACTGCTTCTTGTCCCTGTAAGGTCGGGGGCTACCAGCAGGACTAGCCGAGGTGGAGATGATTGAACGTGCCCGGGAGAAACGTGCATGGGAAGCAACTCTTCCTTCCATGGACAGTGCCTCACAAATCGCGAAGAGGAGGAAGATGATGGATGATATGGAGAGGAAGGAGTGGGCCTTTAGAGAAAAGGAAATAGAAAAGTAGGAGTCCAATTATACTCTTAATTTCTTTGAATTATTGGCTGAATAGAGAAGGAACAAGGTTTTAGGGGTTGGCCGAAAGGTACAAGCCTTTTATTTCTGTGAAAATCTCCTGATTTTGAGAAGGGATATTTTTGTTAAATTTAATATAAGAGACCGCTACCACAATACTTTTCACTAGTGCTAAACTCACTTTTCAACATTAAAGATAAATAAGAGATATGCAATATGAACCATGTGTAGTCAGTTGGTATGTAGGATTTGATATGACAGCATTGCACAGAACACTGCAGAGGACAGAAGGTCACACCTGGCCTTTACTTCCCCTGTAGGTTGCAGGAGGTTCGACTGGAAGTCTTAAAGAAGCTGCTGCAGAGGCGAGAGAAGAATCAGAATGAGCTGGATGCCAAGCGCTTGGATGACCACTGGCAAAATCATCAGAAGGCTAAAGAAGAGAAAATGAAAAAGATTCAGCATGACTGTGCACTGAGTAAGTCTGAAAGACAGGGAGAGAGCAGTGTGAGACTTAGTTTTCAGACAAGCCATGTCCATTTTCACAAGGTTGCAGTTTTGTTCAAGATGAGACAGGTTGCATCCACAATAGATATGCATGACCAGCATTTGTTCTGGTGAAACAGGTTGTGTTTTTCTATTAACTAGGAAAAGCTCTTGTGAATTTCCAAAGATATGGCTTTTTGAGAAGTATTTGTATGAAGAACCTTCTCACATCAGTATTTCCTTTTCAGTGCTCAGGAAACTGATAGCTAAGAGGAAGAATGTGATGGGGAAGCTGGAGAGACGAGATATCATCAAAGAGTATACTGACTTTGCATCGCAAACGTATGCTCCTTTGTCAAGAATTGGTTATTTCCCAGACAACCATTCTGAACGCTATGTGGTAAAAAACATCTATCTTAGCACCTTCGCAGGTAAGGCATTTTGGAAGATTTAGTTTATGTGAGATATTTACTTAAAATATTAACAAAACTAAAATTTCTCTCCTCACCACTCCATTACTTAATTGCTGTTTGTATTTCTTAGGACTGTGTGAACTGGAAGCATCTCTCCCAGATTCTGTCACCCAGGTCAAGATTAAAGCACCAAAGCCTAAGTACACTACCACTGAGACTGGATATATTAAAAGATCAGCAAGGCTAGAGGTGGAGCTGGCACAGGTTCACCAGGTATGGAGCTACATCCAACAGCATGTCAGTTCCTCTTAGGTTTAAACTGTTCATAACATGTATAAGCTTTCTCCCAATTTCCTGTGCTAATTTGTGTTTCCTGTAAGACAACTTCAACGACAGAATGGATCAGACATTCAGACTGTTGTAGGCATGACCAGCACTGGTCTGGAACTCAGTCTGTCAGTACTCTCTCTTCCTAACATCTGTGCTTCTGCTCCAACCCTGCAGAAAACAAGCATAGTTGCCATTGTCTTCCTATAGATCAGGTATTTGGATTGGAACATATTATGTCAGTTAGAAATTCTCTCTTGCCGTTCATTCTCATTTCTCACAGAATTACAGAATCCTGAGCAGGACCACCTAGATCAGATCACACAAGAACGTGTCCAGGTGGGTTTGGAACATCTCCAGAGGAGACTCCACAACTTCTCTGGGCAGCCCGTTCCAGTGTTCTGTTACCCTTACTGGGAAGAAGTTCTTCCTCATGTTTAAGCGGAACCGCTTATGTTCCAGCTTATATCCATTTCCCCTTGTTCCATCATTGGATGCCACTGAGAAGAGCCTGGCTCCATCCTCATGACAGTCACCCTTCTCCCTTGCTTTTATAACGCACATGTGGCAAGCCTACTGGTTACACTGTCAAACTACTAATCATTAAATAAACCAAATCTAGATTCATATTCTAAAAATTCTGTACATTTTACAACATGTACTTAAAATGTACATTTTTAAAAAAAAACAAACACCTGCAGCAAAGCATGATTAAAATGACCCCACTCATAGAATCAGATCAGAACGGTAGGTGCACATCATCGTTGTTCCCTAACAACAGCATCTGATTTGCAAACATGCTAATAGTATTTTGCATGTCTTAATTTATCACAACTGTTCATGCAGATGAGATGTCCACATGTGCAATTAACCACTGGGAAAAGAAGTGCCTCATTTGCATCTACAATCACAGCATTTGTAAATCCCAGGTACTTTTAGAGAATGCTGCTTAGTGGTGCTGTTGAAGGTTACCTTTTTTTAAAATCAGGCATATTTTTGGCTGGCTGTTGTATCTCTCTAAAATATTTAATTTCATTTGTAAAGCTTGGCAACTTTCACTTATGTTTTATTTAGTGAAGAAATATTTCATAACTGGAAATTATGTGTGTAGCTTTCTTGTTTTAGTGCAATTTAATAATACTCTCAACGCAGGCAGTAACTTTCTACTAATGAATTTTAAATTGAAATCTTGTCTGGAAAATCAATCATATTATCTCAAATCTTGTAAAAGATGAAACATTACATCTGCTGTTATTCAAAAGGAAAATTTTCAGAGAAAATCTTGCGTGCTACAGGAAGTGTTCAAGAACTAAGGACATGAATTCACTATGGTTTTAGAGAAGAACACAGAGTTATTGAAGGGGTTTGAGTTTGGGTGCTTTTTGCATAAAATACAAGTAGTGACTATGACTATCTGGATCATAACACAGTTCTCATAGTCAGCAGAACGTTAGCCCAAGCTTTCAGAGCTGAGTTCCAATTACAGCAATTGTATTCTGTTTGTTGAAAATACTTCTGATAGTTTGAAAGACTAGTGGAGTGTCTAAACTATAGTCACAGAGAAGCAGCATGCCCTAATGCTGGCTGCTCATGCGATAATGTCTCCTCAGAGAAAAATTGATGGCCAAAGGGAGATGGAATGCAGAACAAAAGCAGACAATTCTGCATATTTTCTTTGTTAAATCAGTGATCACTTGGTCTACACTGATTTATACCAACTGAGAGGCTAACATAACTAATACTCATTTCCCTACCACAAAAAGGCAACATGTATATTCTTTTAAAATTACAAAGCATTTCCTTTGCAGGCAAAGATGAGAAATCTACTGTGCAAAGTTTAACTGCTGCTTCTAGATATACAGAAGTAGACACCAGGCTGGTTGGTCCGGACAAGCAGAAAGTACTGACACTGTGAAGTACCCACACTGACTCAGCCACCGTTAGATTTAAACAGACTTTCTGTTCAGAGCTACAAGAAATTACTGCCCTAATTAGCACTTGAGCTCTGTGGTGCTGTTACTGGTCACTTCTATCAGAGTCTTTTGCTTCTCTGGTGGCCATAGCATGTTCTGGCTTAGCAGGGCCTCTCTGACAGGTCCACCTCAGAAGCTAGTGGAGCTGTCAAGAAGAGGGCAGTAAAGGGTGCAGAGTACCCTTTAGTTAACAGAATTTAGCACTTGAGAGGACAGCTGTCTGACCACTTGGCATGAGCAGTCCCAATCCTCAAGCCAACAACCTCCATCCCACACAGTACCAAAGAGATTTAAGGCAGGCAATTAGGCATCATCTCCAAAAGGCACTGTGTTGCTTTTCCTTATTTCTATAGCTGAGCAGCTAGACCAGTTTCTCTTCAAAAGCCTCTTTTAGTGCTGTCTTAGCACACTTAATCTATAAATTTTATCCCATAATCTTAGAAATAAAGCAGAACTCTACAAAATTCAGAGAGTACACAGTGATCTAGCTCTAGAATGAGTTTCTTTCGTTTTCCCTGGATAATCTGTGGAAGGAGGTGGCAAGTAGAGGAGGAACGCTAGATTTTGGCCTCAGAAGTAATTTTAATAAAGGCAGTTTCCAAGGCTTGCTTCTCTGACCAAACAAGTGGCAAGATGGATTAGTTCTCCTCATTATGTTCCTCTTGGTTTGCCATATTGAGCATGTTTGTAACCTCAAAGCTTGTAAGAAGGGACTAGCAGTTGTCCAAGGAGCTACAAAAAGGATCTGTTCCCTTTTGAGAATAAGAACAGCTTCTTCCAGACTTGAAACTAAGCCAAAGAAAAGTGATTTTAGAAGCAGAGTTTTTGAGGAGCATCCTGAAACCTTTTGCCGGAGTATTATGTACGTTCAGTATTCTTTGAATAATTCTCTAAAACAAGAGAACATGGCAGAAAAAGGAGTTCCCCCAGGATTTACAGTAAAAACAATGATCTGCATCTTAAGCCAGATCTGTAAGAGGACAAGGAAAGCTAGTTCCTAGCCAGCGCAGGTGGTAGTGCTTTAAGGAATGTAAGTGAGCCATTCTATAGACAGCCTGGTGTGAAAAATCCAAGGCATTAAGGAGATGGCATACTGATATAGCTAATTATTATAGTAAAGGAATGCAACTGAGTAACTGAATACACCAAGGAACAGAGGAGCTGCTAGAAAAAATCCCAGTGCAGAACAATGTGTGACTTTAGGCTGACCCTGTACGCTCTGGTGACTCAAGAGGGGTGAAGGGTCAGGTAGTTTCAAAGTGCTGGATCAAGATGATGTCAGAACAAAGAATCCCTCACCTCAGCATTAAGTGCAACTCTCATCACGTCTGTTTTCCTTTATCTGGTTGCTGGAAGGAGGTAGAGAAGTAGGGGGCCAAGAACATCTCTGGAGAAAATCTCAGCCAACTTCAAGGTGTAGGAAAACCTGTTCAAGCAATTACTTCATCAAGAACAGATCTCCAACACGGTGTTAGTTGGCTCATGCTCAGACAAGCTCTAAGAGCTATTAGGTCAGTCTTGATCAGCCACGATGCAGCGGCCATGCTGCATTGCAAAGTAGGTAGTCAGTCCATCCTTGATGATCTCACCTTCTTCATTCACGGGGAAAAAAGGAAGAAAGACCTTTTTCAATTCACGGGAAAAAAGGAAGAGAAACATGACTGTATACTCTGTGCTGTATGTGAAAATAAAATAAAATATACCTGGTGTCTTGTAGAATCGTAGAATCGTAGAATGGTTTGGGTTGGAAGGGACCTCAAAGATCATCTAGTTCCAACCCTCCTGCCATGGGCAGGGACATCCTCCACTATACCAGGTTGCTCAAAGCCTCATCCAACCTGGCCTTGAACACTTCCAGGGATGGGGTATCTACAACTTCTCTGGGAAACCTGTTCCAGCACCTCACCACCCTCAGAGTGAAACATTTCTTCCTTATATCCAATCAAAATCTCCCCTTTCAGTTTAAAGCCATTGCCCCTTGTCCTATCACTACACACCCTTGGAAAAAGTCCCTCCCCAGCTTTCCTGTAGGCCCCCTTTAGGTACTGGAAGGCTGCTATAAAGATCACCCCGGAGCCTTCTCTTCTCCAGGCTGAACAGCCCCAACTCTCTCAGCCTGCCTTCATAGGAGAGGTGCTCCAGCCCTCGGATCATCTTCGTGGCCTCCTCTGGACCCGCTCCAGCAGCTCCATGTCCTTCTTATGTTGGGGACTCCAGAGCTGAACGCAATATTCCAGGTGGGGTCTCAAGGAAGGATCTAAAGAATGTTTTCATTGAATGGAGAATAGTTTCTCAAGCCACTATCCTGTCAAGAGCTCTGCTTCTATCAGAAACTAGCAAAGAAGCTAAAGTGTATGGCCAAAACCATGGGTGCCATTTGCTGTTCACTCCATTTGCCAGAAAAACGGAAAGAACATTAATTGGATGGTCCTTCACTGTCCAATCCAACTAGATCACACCATGGATCTGAACCTACTACCTGAAAAAAGTAATGTAGTCGATCTCAGAAAAATTAGAGTGTGATACGTAGGCAGTAACATTTGAAGTATGTTGTTCAGAAATTTAGCACTTTTTAAAGACAGTATTTTACAGTGATTCCCTGGTCTCTCTATTTCTAAGTTAGGCAGAACTAGTTAATGCCAAAAACATATTTTCTTTTCCTTTTCTTACATTAAAGTCTTAACTTAAACCCTCAGGTTAGGGAAGGCAAATGGTAAGTAAGCATTTTTTACTTGGTAAAGATAGTAAAAGCAGGCACTGGACTGTGCTGACATGTAGATGTAAAACCACTTCTGGGAGCTGCAGTATTTCTCAAATCTACATTAATAACAATTCCCTCTTGTCAGAAGTGCTCATAGACTTCTCTGTCTTTGAAAGTTGTTATTCTGGTTGTACTTTGTGGTTGTTTTTTTTTTATTTTCGGAGGCTAAAGTTTTATTAGAAAAATACTTATGACTGCAGTATTGTACTAATAAACATTGGAGCCATTGTTTTCAAAAGAATCACAACTACAGCAGCTTTTTTCTTTCAATTCCCCTCCCATATCATGCAAAACACCTTATAAATCATTGCGAGCACTGTTACAGTCTTCATGACAGAGAGCTCTAAGGTCATCAAATACAAGAAACTGTTCAGAAAATCTCAACATTTTTGACCTATGTCCATTTCACATGGTTTACAAGCAGTTTATAGGCTTCGATTCTTGCATTAATAACCATGGTCCATTTCAGAAATTGTCAATAATAAATCATTTTATCCCCCTCCACCTGAAAATCTTTCTCCTTTCCTTGAGCAATTAACTATCCTAGCCTGAAAGGTCAGATCCATAAGGCAAGAAGAGTTTTGTACAATGACCGCTGGAGTTCCAAAACTTCATTGATTTCACAATTAAATTCTCTGTAAGTGCCATCAGTTTTGTGTTACCGGAGAGAGAAATGCAACGTGGGATTCTTTTTTTAAGTTTTTCTTTGGTTTCCCTCTGTAGTGAAATACTGTATTTGAACGTTTGAAAGAGAGAGAGAGAAAAAAAAAGAAAAAGACACGCTGTTCCTTGCTGGAATATGTTTGTTCTTTTAGTAATAAAGACTACAGATCCCATCCATATAGTGATAGTATTATAATTTTGAAGAAGCTTTGAATGTCCATACTCTCTTCCCTTTTCTTTGCGAGCCAAAGTGTGATGTCCTACAGCAGGCGAGCGCTGCCGTGCAGTTGGAGATGGTTATCTGAGTATCTTGTCCTAAGCAGCTTGCGATGGGAAGTTGGCAGGACTTTGGCTCTCTAAACAGCTTGAAAATGTCTTGAAAGAGTTGAGGCCATGGTGCATTTCCACTCCTAGCCTGCTTTGGCTGAGAAGGTTTGGCATCTGCCACCAATTAAAACCCACTCTTCATGGGCTTGTGGATTTTCTTGGTAGAAGGAAGTTCTCGGGCAACTTAGTTTCCCTTTCGCCCTTAGTCCACCTGTACAGTTGCTGTGGGTGTCACTGGGCTACTGGGCAGTTGCAGATGAGCAGAGAAGGTTTTCAAAAGGTATTTTGCAAGGAAGAGGTCATTTGGTTCAACCCTGAGCAGTGACAGTGTATCATCCAAAGCCGTTTCACTGAGGAAAGGCTGCAGAGCAGTGACAATACACTCTACAAGTGGCCCCGTTCATAAAAATCTCCTGACCACGCAACATTTCTAACCCGCTGTGACAAGCATTATATCTACAGTTAAAGGCAAGGAGTTATAACTATTCTGTAGTGATATGTACACTGTAATCAGTGATATTCCTACCCATTTTTCATGTTTTGAATGAATCTTACTTCTATCTTACAGAAAAATGATGGTTTTGTCATTGCATAAGGAAAGTAACACACTAGTGCCTCTGCTTACATATGGGTCAGTGTTTAATTGGCTCAATGAGATTCCTATTTTAAAATGAAAAAAAAATCTGAAATATGCTTTTACTTAAGAATGTATTATATTAGAGATTGAGTTTGTACCAATATTAGATTAATTTGAGGTGACTCACCTTATGCAATTGCTGATGACTTACTTGTAAATATAGTAAAATAACTCTTGCTTCTTTCTTTCATGTGATTTTGAAGTTCCCATCAGTATCTTGTGACCAAACAACAGCAATATGCAAACCAAAAACCAAACCCAACATGCAGTAAGAAATAGAAGCCACAAGCCTGCAAAGTGCAAATACTTTCAGCTCCCTGTAGTCAGTGTGACCAGCAACAGTCCGTGGCTAGGGGACTGGACTTACTGTGTTCTGTCTTCTAGCCCAGTTCTCATTAAATTGTATGTCTCTTCCAGGCACTACTGGAGAAAAAGAACAAAGTCAAGGAGCCAAAGAAGCCTCTCCGTTTCCTTGAAAAAATAGAAAAGCCTGTTCCTCGGCCACCCACTCCAATCCTGGAAAAACCATCAATTGTAAGTGTGCTAGTTTCAGAATTCTTTTTTTCTGTTGATCCCTGACTGTTTCTTGCATAGTTGTTAAAGGAATGTCCAGAGAAGGCAAGGAGTGAGCTTTACCTTTTTGTTGTGTATTCATGTTAGAAATAGCCATCAATATTTCTTAAAACTCTCTTAGTCTTTCTTTATTCTATAAAGATACTAGCAGACAAAGAATTGAAAAGCTTTTACGGTATCTGTTCGCCAAGTCCTCAACTAAACTTTATCTTATAAAGACATAAATTAGTAGACATGTTATTCCCTTGTTCTTGGGAAACAAAAAGGGAGATGATGATGATGATGATGATGATGATGATGATGATGATGATGATGATGATGATGATGATGATGATTAAATGTCTTCCAACCTTCTGATTTGACAACACTATCATAATCCAGTGGAGCAACTAAGTTTAGTCCCACTGAAGTCAGTGAGGCTTTGGGTGCTTAGCACTGAGCGTGCACTTCATGAATTTGCCAGAGTGAAGGATGCAGTCTTTGATGAGCGTGCTCCAGTTCACAGAAAATGATTCTTCCACAGAGACCAAAATAGCAGTAATGATGTGTCATGGGGGATGTGGGATTCTTATGCTGTAGGAAAGATCAGCTTTTTAGGGGAGCTGCAACTTCTTTTCCTGTCTTAAAGTAACATACTTAAGAGGTGGTTGCCCCAGTGGATTGCTTTGTCTGCTTATTTCTTTGTCTGCATTTTCGTGGTGTAGTAAGAATCAGACACAATTCCCATTCAAACTTGGGAATTTAAGAGAGTCACACAACCATGAAAGTGAGAGAGAAAAGTCTTATTAGGTCATCCATGCTCTCTTCCTTTGTGCAGTATGATGTCCTATGTTTTATACAGTCTGTTTTAAGATAACTGAAACAAGAATACTTCCTTGGGAAGAGTTTCCACAGATTTACTGACTCCTAGATATTAGATACTGTATTGCAGTGGTAGATTTACACTGTTTAGATTTACCAGTTTAGCAGATTTGTAAGTACTTCCAGGTAACATGGAAAGAAATCAGAAAGATTTATCCTCCAGTTGTAGTCATTCTTGAATGTGTTTACAGATTATAGGGTTTTTTTGAAGAGTTCCAGTACAATAGAGTTCCACCTAAATGAATTCAGTCAACATTTTGTTTATTTTCAAGTGTCTTTATGTGTGAGCACATAAAAGAGTGGAGCTCTCCAGTGAAGCCACATCTGTTAAATCAGGCCACTTCAGCCACTGAAGAGCAGCACTAATATCTCCTGCCTTGCAGAATCCACATTCCTTCACTAGTTTATCACTTTCTCCCAGCCCGCTCTCGTTTTCAGCCTGCTCTGAGATCCTTCTATATCCTTAATTCCTTTTTTCTTTTTTTTTTCCTGCAGGACATGATAGTCTTTCCATCTGCCCT